TTCTGGCCTCCTTACGCGTTTTGGACCGCACGTCGTACAAACGCTGCACGTGGGGGTCTGCGTGGCCAGAGTGCGGAAAATAAGCGGACGCAAAACGAACACGAAAAGAATCAGAGACTACATCTGCGAAGCACGCTCTCTCCGAAAGCCGTGTAAAATTACGGATGCTGTTCGCCCACCGCTGATTCACCAGAAGTGCGACACCTCGGCCAGTGCCGCCCCAGCCACATCCAAGAAACACATGACCACCATCCACCGTGAATAATTCCGTTTTCTCTCTTCTCCAAGTTTCGTTCACGATCATCAGGTCCCACATCACCCCGTCAAGTTCCTTCAGGAGCTCAGCGATCCGATCATCAGAAATCAAACTTCGAACATTGATATGTAAAATGCGTAATTCTTCATGCCCAGAATTAAGTAATTCCTCCATCGGCGGCAACTTCGAGCCTTCCGGCAGCGAGTGTTTCAGCGATGATATAGGAAAATCGCCATCTACGTGTTGGAGTGCTCCACGCCCTCCCCCCTTGAAAGAAGCCGTCCTTGAACTGGTACTGGTTCCCCCTGCGCACGTGTCCCGGCCGTGCGCTCCATCATGTGGTCACTCGCTTTCCTCGCTCTCCGTGGCCGGCTCCAGGTTCACCTTCGCCAACCACTTCCTCATCGAGTCCTCCACTGCCTTCTCCACTGCCTTTCCTGTCGCTGTTGTGTGCCACTCCCCCTCCTCGTCGTACCAAGCTACCTTCCTCTCCTTACCCTGCCCATCCCTCATTACGACAATGTTTTTTGGCCAGATGATTCTAACTGCTGTATCTTTGCAAGTGTCGTGATCAGAAAGATGGTGCTTCATGTACCCAAGCCTTTTCTCACGTGCTCGCTCCTCACGCGTCAGGTTGTTTTTGAAGAATGCCTTCCCAAACATCGCCTTGCTGTCAACGTCCCGGAGCTTTTTGTAGAAGGTGATCTTCTCCGGCACGGAGTCGAAGGTAATCAATGCAAATTTGGTTGGATCTTTCGGTGCTGTTACCTTAGCGCTGGTATCTTCGCCGAGCAAGGTCTTCAACTTACCCTCGATGTCAGCGATGATATTCGACGCCTCCACGTGAGCGGCAAAGCCTAAGGCAACTACCTGTCTCGTACGCTCCTCCTCCTGCTGCGTGTAACTGACGTGACCTGTAAGTTTCCCACTTCTCCCCGCATGCTCCTTCACGATATCTTTCACTATATTTGGTAAGTCGGCCTTTTTAGTAGTGCTGTCCCTGATGATGTTCATCTCCCCCTTGACTTTATTCACCGCTTCCTCCGCCATGCTCGTGGCGTACTTGGCCTGCTGCGCCATGTTTTTCGCCTCTTTCACCTCCTTCCTCGTGTTTTTCACGTCGTTCTTCATTTCCTTCATGCTCATCATCGTCTTCATCATCTCCTTCTCGCTCATGTCCTCATCCCCTCCCTCCATACCTTCATCCACTACTTCCTTCTATTCTTCTTCCGCCTTGAGTTTCTTGTCTTTCGGACTCGAACCGGTTCCCGAATCCGCCTTCTTCTTTCTGGACTTGACATTGGACGCCATCTGGAACGAGAGATGCAAAGTTGTAAGTATGTCAGGGCCGCTCACGCCCTCGCGCCTGAGTATACTCTCGCCTGAGTATACTGGATAGCCCGGCGACGTAAAGAACGCTTAAATCGAGCGCATGGAAAGAAAAACAAACAACTACATGAATACCCATAACAGACATCAACAACTATACCCGCACGACGGCTAAAACAATCAATAATTGCTTGATGTGAGAACATTGAGCACCATTGAAAGCTATTCCGAGTAATGGTGAATAGTACTGATATCTCTATATAATCGTAAAGAAACCAAGATTGAATACAAATATACCAACGAGAGTGAATATCTGACTGGTTAGAACACTTACTCACAAGCATACTTGCACGACTAATCAAATAATTTATCATTCAATGCTGGAAACGCCACACTAGCATGAACAACATACTCCGCATACTCATCTGTGTTTACATAACTATTTATATCGGCAAAGTCGCAAGTAAACCACACGAGCATAATCAAAATGATCAAACAATTGTATTCAGAACTCTTGATCACTAGACCTGCGCGAATGACCAAATAATCACCCTTTGAATGCTAGGACACTTCCCAATTATTCTCAAGAGAGCCAAGGACGGCGGCGGCACGCCGGCGCTGCCACTTGGGCTTACGGTGGAGCACCACATAGTGCCACGAAACGTGCACGTGGTGCGCCGAAATCGAAGTGGAACTGCAGGCGGACCCTGCCACTGGGGCCTTCAGTGGGGTACCCGATGGGGCCACGATACGCGTGCGGGGTGCGCAGACATGGAAGTGAAACTGCATGCGGACCCTGCCACTGGGGCATTTAGTGGAGCACCCTATGGGGCCACGGAACGTATGAGAGGTGCGCCGAAATGGAAGTGGAATTGCAGGCGGACCCTGCCGCTGGGGCCTTCGGTGGAGCACCTTATGGGGCCACGGAACGTGTGAGTGATGCGCCGAAATGGAGGTGCAACTGCATGCGGGCCCTGCCCCTGGGGCCTGCAGTGGAGCACCCTATGGGGCCACGAAACCTGTGAGGTGCGCCGAAATGTGGGTGGAACAGCATGCGGACCCTGCCACTGGGGCCTTCGGTGGAGCACCTTATGGGGCCACGAAACCTGTGAGGGGGGCGCCGAAATGGAGGTGGAAGCCCTGCCACTGGTGCTTTCGGTGGAGAACCCTATGGGGCCACGAAACGTATGAGGGGTGCGCCGAGATGTAGGTGGAACGGCATGCGGACTCTGCCGCTGGGGCCTCCGGTGAAACACACCATGGGGCCACGAACCGTGCGAGGGGTGCGCCGAAATGGAGGTGGAACTGCATGCGGACCCTGCCACTTGGCCATTCAGTGGAGCCCCGTGTGGGGCCACGAAACGTATGAGGGGTGCACCGACATGGAAGTGGAACTGCACACGGACCCTGCCACTGGGGCCTTCGGTGGAGCACCGTGTGGAGGACATGCGGAGGGCAGAGGCAAGGAGGGGGAGGATGGGAGGAGGGAGGAGGGGCTGCGGGAGTGAGGACGAGGGGCTCTGTGTCTTCAAAACGAGGACCCAACACCCCAGGATGGATGGGAACAAGAAATATAGAACTAAGCACCGAGATTTGATAGTTATTGTGGGAATGGAATGTTGCGACACATTTGTTCTCCTTGTACTCCCAAAAAAAGTTTATTAGCAGTGGCAAGCGTTATTCGTAACCGTGACAAGAATTCGGAGGTTGAGGGGTGAGATCGCCGTGGAACGGAGACCCCCAACCGGGAAATCGTTTCGTTTCGTTCGTGTCGTGCGTGCGGGCGGGGCGAAGCTGCGTGGGCGCGCGAGAGGAATGAAACCGCCGTTGCTCGGGCGAAGTCAAGACAAATGATTCTCCCCGGTCCGTCCGTCCGTCCGGCGGTGGCCCTCGTTGTCCCGCGGTGTCCCGTGGTGCCCCGTGGTGTCCCGTGGTGTCCGCCGTTGCCAGGGCGAAATCAAGACAACTGATTCTCCCCCCTCCGTCCGTCCGTCCGGCGGTGGCCCTCGGAGTCCCGCGGTGTCCCGTGCTGTCCCGCGGTGTCCCGTGGTGTCCGCCACTGCTACCACTGCTACTACTACTCCTACTCCTACTACTACTACTACTACTACTACTACTACTACTACTACTACTGCTACTACGACTACTACTACTACTACTACTACTACTACTACTACTACTACTATTACTACTACGTCTACGTCTACGACTACTACTACTACTACTACTACTACTACTACTACTAGAACTACGACTACTACTACTACTACTACTACTACTACTACTACCACTACCACTACCACTACCACTACCACTACTACTACTACTACTACTACTACTATACTACTACTACTACTACTTACTACTACTACTACGACCTACTACTACTACTACTACTACTACTATTACTGTTACTGCTCTTGCTACTGCTACTACTACTACTACTACTACTACTACTACTGCTACTACTGCTGCTACTACTACTGCTACAGCTACAGCTACTGTTACTGCTACTACTACTACTACTACTACTAACTACTACTACTACTACTACTACTACTAGACTACGACTACGACTCATACTAGTACTACACTAGTATTACTACTACTACTACTACTACTACTACTACTACTACTACTACTACGGCGACTACTTCTACTACTACTACTACTACTACTACTACTACTACTACTCCTACTACTAGCATCACTACTACTACTGCTACTACTACTACTACGAATACCCCTCCTACTACGACTACTACTACGACTGCTACTACTACTACTACTACTACTACGACTATTATTACTGATACGACTACTACGACTACTACTACTACTACTACTACTACGACGACGACGACTACTACTACTACTACTACTACTACTACTAGTACTACTACTACTACTACTACTACTACTACTACTACTACTACTACTACTATTACTACTAATACTACTACTACTACTACTACTACTACTACTACTACTACTACTACTACTACTACTACTAC